CTTAGCCACTATGCTACCAGAGCCTTGGAAACCCAAGGAGGGGTCGCTGTGAGCCAGATCCGACTCCACAGCAGTAAGTTTGGTTTTTTTTTTTTTGGTTTTTGAGCGTAGAATTTTTCTAGCTTTCTAGCAACCGAGGTAGATATTATACCAACCTTTTAATCGTTTTTTAGTCTAAAAAAACAGGTACTGAGGTACATATTTTACAATATGCAAGTAAATAAAATTCATGGATTAAACTAGTAGACCACAAAAACCAAACCAAACTCACTACCATCAAGTCAATTCCGACTTATAGAGAACCCCAATGGGTTTCCAATGTAAATCTTTATGAAAGTAGATTGCCCCGTTTTCCTCCCACAGAGCAGCTGGTAGGTTTGAACCACTGACCTCCTGGTTAGCAGCTAAACGCCTTACCTACTATGCCACCAAAGCTCCTTAAACTACTAGAAGGGGGAAGGAATGATTTATTCATCAGTTTTAGTGGTAAGAAAAGCAAGGGTCAAGGTGATAATACCTTGTCCAGGTCACATACAAATAAATATGCTTTTCATATTCTTGCAAATTACTTCCTTTTTTTCACCCTTCTGCATAAATAAGTCTTACAAAGCCTAAGCTTGGAATAGACTGAATTGTTGGTAATTGTTGAAACTGAATGATGAGCCACCCTACGATCAGAAAAACAAAATGGTGCCCAGCTACCAATACTGACCACTCTTATCAGGGTTATAACAGAATGAGAAAAATGTGGGACAGAACCTCAAACTCCTAAAACAAAATAAAAACACCAGATCTACTGGACTGATTGAGACTTAAGAATTCCCCAAGACTACTGACCTGAGATAATCTTCAAACTCTGAACCAAAACTAACCCGAGGTCATCTAAACAGCAACCCAGATCAAAAATAATGAATACCACCCGTAAGTAGCATGCTCCGTTAAAAAAATCACCTAAATAAGACCAAATGGTCAACAATTACTTTAAAACAAAGATGTAACTATAAAGGGGCAGGGAAACTAGATAAATGGAAATAGAACCACCATGACAGAAATAATGAAAATGTTAATGCATTGTGAGGAATGTAACCAATGTCACTGAACAACTTGCGTAGAAATGGTTGAATAAGAATCTAAACTGCTATGTAAAACCTCACCAAAAACACAAAATTATATTTTAAAATAATAATAGTAATGATGAAGGGTACTGGAAGAGGAGGGCTTTATACCATTCTACTTATAAACATTTTTAAATATCCGTAATAAAAAGCTTTTAGTTTATGGCAAAAAAAAAAAAAACTAGAAAGAACCTAAATGTCTACCAGATAACATAAATACAGTGGTAATGTTTTTTTCTTATGTTTCCAAAGCAATTGTGGGAGATCAAAATTAGCTTTCTAGAACTAGGAGAAGAAAAATTAACATTAAGGCACTTTTCTGGGTATATTTAAACATTTCTTCACAATCCTCACAGCAACTGAGTTATAACCATTTATTTAATAAAGAAACCAAAATTTGGAAGTTCTATTAACTTGCCTAGAGGCACAGAATTAGTAAATGAAAATGCTAGAATATGAATTCAAGTCTATCTGATTTATACCCATATAAAGCTGCATTTTGGGGGCTATAATATGCCCTTAAGTCAATTCTAACTCACAGCAATCCTATATAAGAGAACTTCCCGTAGGGTTTCCTAGGCTGTAAACTTCACCAGAGCAGATTATCAGCTCTTTTCTCCTGCAGAAGCCGCTTGTGGGTTCAAACTACCAACCTTTCTACTAGCAGACAAGCACTTAGCCACCATGCCACCAGGGCTTCTTTTATAATATCTGACAAAAAAAAAAAAAAAAACTGAACTCACTGCCATCAAGTCAATTACGACTAACAGCAGTCTACTATTTAATAAATAATTGTTGGTTTTGATTTTAATCTGGTGGTATAGTGGTTAAGGCATTTGGCTGCTAATCAATACACTTAATTATCAGTTTGAACCCACCAGTCACCCCATAGAAGAAAGATAAGGCTGCCTACTTCTGTAAGGATTTATAGCCTTGAAACCCAATGGTGGTGGCTGAGTCAAAATCAACCTGATGGCAGTGAGTTTGTTGTTTGCTTTTTTTTTGTTTTATTGTTTTTTTTTTTTCTGAGTAGCTGAGTTTTCCTTCAATTAAATAGAAGTACCACTTTATGGATACCCAAAAAACTATAACTCCTTCATAAACACCACACCCAGTCAAAAAATATACACTAAATAGTATACACTAAATAGCCTAAGGGCTAGATGCAGGAAGGCAAAAGATCCACAGTAGTTGCATGACTCAAATGTTAAGGAAGATTCTGGCTCTTCCTCCTCATTCAGGTGGACAGAGTGCTGCAATCCTCCCTCCACCTGGACATGGGAGGTTAGAATAGTGGCCGTGGCTAGCTTGGGAGGTAAACATGGAATTGTTCCAAATAAGCAGAGCTCATTTCTTAATTGCCTACATGTCCCATTACTTTGAGAAACTGTGTAGAAACAGCTACAGAAGAAGAGGCCTATAAATAGTGAACCAAATGGCAAATGACAAGAAACATAAGGAAAAGAAGGGGAAATGTTTTTGATAACGAAACTGGTGAAAGAAACATTATACCCTACCTCCTTCAGAGTTATCAAAGGAACTGAAAAAAAAAATGAGAAATGAAGACTGACAATTTTAGCATATTTTTCTCAAAAGTCCACAGAATCTTATAGGACATAAGATCTTATAAGACAAAGTATTTAAAAAAAGATACATTGGATAATTGAGTGGACAGGCTGAACTATTAGGTATGTCTATGAAGCAGGGAGTGTACCCAAGACCATGTATACACTTATAAAGTTTATTTGTATGATCTGTAAAAATTCCCAGGTGTATAACAGAGCTGACAAGGGACAAAGTTGTAGTCACTTCTTGGTCATAGCCAGCTACACAGAGGGACCGAGCAGTTGACCTGTGGGCTCAGGACCATAGTCACAGAGGGCATCAAGCTCAACTGGCATAACATACTACACAAAACATTGTTCCACCTCCTACTTTGGTGAGTAAGGATTGGGATATTAAAAGCTTACAAGCCATCTAGATGCAAGGATGGGTCTCTCCTTGTCCACAGCAAAGAAGAATAAAGAAAACCAAAGATTCATGGAAACAATTAGTCCTAGTGACTGGTACACCATCCGATCTACAGCATAAACAACTATGAGACCAGAAGAACTAGATGGTGCCTGGCTACCACTGTCAACCACTTGGAGGGGAATCTATGTAGGAGATTCTGGATAGAGAGGGAGAACAACGTGGAACAAAACTCAAATCATTTGCAAAAATAAAGGGGACCAGGTTCACTGGTCTGATAGAGCCTGGTAGAACCACTGAGACTATGGTCCCTAGCTGCCTTTCAGGTCTGGAATGGAACCCACAGCTGTAGCTTCC